CTTCGGAATAATTGTTTATAATATTTTATTTAAAAAGTAAATATTACTCCCTCCGTCCCAGATACGTGTCTGCTACACTATAGACACGGTATTTTAGGAGGGGTGTAATTAGTAGATAATTAAGAATGTATTAGTGAAAATAATTATCCTATAATATAAATAATTATAAATTAAGATTAAGATAACTAATTAGTTTAATTAAAATTAAAAAAATAAAATTAAAAAAATTAAAATGAGATTAAAGTGTGTAATCATTTTCCAAAAAAGGAAAGTGATATGGTATGTAGGACGGACAAAAACAGCAACCTGAACATGATATTTGGGACGGAGGGAGTAATATAATATTTTACATAAAAATATAAATAGGAACAAAAAATCACGAGAATAAAACCTAAAATTATAATTGTGAAGACAGTTTCTATGAATCAACGTTGTTGTTGAACTACTCTAAATTATAAAATTGAATAAAGCATTTGACATTATTTTAGGAATATAGAAGTATAAAAAAGATTCTACAGTTTATGTAAGAATAAAACTGAAAGGGTTGAAGTTTTGAAATTTTAAGATAAGAATGTTATAGTGTGTTATTTCTATTTTATTTCTTTATGTTAAAATTATATTTGAAAAATATACGCTAGTATTATATTTATGGTATTTCTCTTATTTTTCAAAAATATATATAAGATTTTTAATGTATTTAGATGATTTGTATGTCAATATAAATATGTTCGAATTCTAACTATCGAAATTAGATAATTTCATTTTATATTTCAATATAATTATCAAGGTCAATTTTTTTCGATACATCTATGACCTGATACATTCTGTATATAATTTTCTATTTTGTTGATTTATTTACTTTTATCCATAATCATATCACTATATATCTCATTTCGTCGCAGCCATTTCGATCTCCATTAACAAAGTCATACTTTTTTTTCCAACTCAAACTTCATTGTAAGTAAATCTTATTGTCAACTCTAATTCTGTAGTGAATAAGTTTTACTTTCGATTCTAACTTCATTGTAAGAGAATTATATTTTCGACTCTAACTTCGTTGTAAGCGAGTCATTCTTCCGACTTTGATTTAGTGAATAATCCCGCTACATCACTTTCGGTCACTTTTGACAATTAAAGTTGGTTCAATTATATTTTAAATTTGAAAGAGGGATGCTAAAATATATTTAAAAAATAAATATATTATATTTATAATATGTGCTTTATATAAGACATTTGTAAAAAAAAAAAATTATTTATTTAACTGATTTGTATGTCACTAATGAATATGTATGAATTTTTACATGGAAATAGAAAATTTCATATTCATATTCTAATAATTTATTTCATTTTATTTTATTTTTGGTGTTTTATTTTTATTGTTTTTTCTTAAGTTAAATAGATTATAAATATAATATTTTATATATGCAATTGATATATTTTTATTGAAATCTATGAATTGTATAGTAAAATAAAATTTTGAGAGAGAAAGAGAAACGTGTTTACTAGTATTTTTTAAAGCAATGAGGTTGTGAATTTTCAAGACATTTTTGTCTTAAAAATCATTAGGTTGGTACCTAAAACTTGTACCAATTATTTGACTCTATACACAAATCCCTTAATTAATTAATATAGCAATTCATTGTAATAGTCAACTTAAGAATGTATTATTATTATTATTATTATTATTATTATTATTATTATTATTATTATAGCTTATTTATTCCCATTTTTCACTACTAGTTTTAATTTAGGACGTCCCAAAATTTTTACAACATTTTTTTGTCTAAATACAATATTTTCTCTTTTTCATTTCCAAATATAATTATAAAATTATTCCAAACAAAAGATAAGGGCAAAATAATATTTAAAAAAAAAATCAAAATTACACGACTTAAAATATCATGCAAAAACTAATTAACCATGCAAAAGAAAATAGACGAAGATATAGTACTATCTCTATCATCTAAATTTAAATTTATTTTCTTTTTGTACCGCTAATTTAAAAAAAAAAAAAAAAATCAATTCTTTTTAAGTATCAATTATTACTCGTTATCATAAAATTGGATAAAAGAAAATGCATTGCTTATCAATTTATTCTGGTTATATAGTTTAATAAATTGACCATTTGATATAATTCTAGCCTGCATGCATGCAACTAGCTAATTATTATATTTACCAATGTGGGGAAAGTTGAACTCCAAAAATAATTAATTAAAAAAAAAAATGAACGGTATTCAGACATCATTTCCTGCCGGCTAGCAACATAATAATTATTTTTATTTATTTATTTATTTATTATTATTATTATTATTATTATTATTATTTGCAGACATTCCCAAACCCTGTTTATACATTATTCTGCAATTTTTTAATCAAAATATATATACAAAATAAGTCGATGGAATCTCCAGTGGGAACCCCAAGACTGTGTATATTTTATTTTTATATTTATATATATATATATATAATTATCGACAGATTTAATTTTGAAGTGATTACGTACCTAACTATTATACATACATATACATACATAATAATTTATACTATCTTTCAAATGAGTGGTTCATAAATATATATACACTGGCGGAGTCAGAATTATTCCGTCAGAATGACTGAAAATTTTGTTAAGATCCAAAATTTAAATATTTTTATTATTTTAAACAAAATTAATGATAAAAATATATTTTTTAACATATTTAATTCATATAAAAATATTAACTTGGTAACAATCGATCAAATTTTAACGGATTTTGGAGGTTCAGGCCCCGAATCCCTTTGGGGCTCCGCCACTGTATATATGCTAGTGTGAATTTTTCACGAATGTTATATATAATTTTATTAAATAATTTATAAGAAAAAGAAATATTTAACTATGTTACAAATTAGACTGCTGATCGATTTAAAATTATACCAATCTTTTCTAATTTAATAATACTCTGAATTATAGATTTTCCACACGTAATTGAAAAGATAAAAATTTTAAAAAATAAAATAAAATAAAATATCTTTGTATATAAATAATTTAGTGAGTGGCTTCCTTTCCACACTCCACTAAAGAAGCATAACAGTCTTTACGTGTTGACATTTATATTTTCTGTCCTAATAATTGCATAAACCCTACAAATAAAGTCTGTACATAATTCATATATATTATTTCTCATGTTTTCACTGATAGTCGTACAATGGTTCGCTCAATATTTTCTAAAGTACAAAAGAGAATGAGCAAATAATCTGACGGAGAATGTATTATTTTTTTTTATAAAATATTATATTAAACTGTTGTTTGAATAAAAAATACAATTAATTTATAATAAAATAATTTTATCAATTATTTAATAATTTTTTTTATAATATTTACATTTTAATTTATTTTTTACTTACTCTATTTTAATATTAAAATATTATTATTTTTAAATTTTTGTACTTAATCAACCTACATAGTTTTTCCGAACGGATAGAGTAAATTTTGTTAATAATATATATCAAATCAATCATTAAACTTGTATTTTAGATAGACTAAAAATAATTTTTACATTTAAATTATAGTCCCTCCGTCCTATTTCCTATGTCCACTTTTCCATTTCCGTCCGTCCCACTTATTTTGTCACTTTCCTTTTTTGGAAAAAAATTATACACTTTAATCTTATTTGAAAAAATTTAATTTATAATTTTTTAATTTTAATTATACTAATAAGTTATCTTAATCTTAATCTATAATTATTTTTATTATACGATAATTATTTTCACTAATACATTTTTAATTATTTACTAATTATATTCCTCCTAAATTTTCGTCTACAGGAAATCGGACAAAATATTCGGGACGGAGGGAGTAATATATATATAATATTAATACTTATTTATATTATATTAAAGGATGGTTATAATCCAAATTTAATTTTGTTGCTCTCAACCCCAAATTCAACTCTGAAATTTGTAATAGAGTAAGTGTTAGTCGTTTGGAGATTGATTGACTTTAAGACAGATTAAAGTCCTCCAAAGCATGGTTCAAATTTTCTTGTGGAAGGATCAATTTAACTATTATTATTATTATTATTATTATTATTATTATTATTATTATTAAAAATTGAGCGTAAGTCCTCTGTAGTTTCGAAACTCAGTGTAAATTTTTTTATTTTTTAAAAATTACATGATGCTCTCTTATACTTTAAAAAACGTTGCACGAAACTCATTTTTACATTTTCTATATGATAAGAAGATGATTTTTTATTTTTATCTTTTGTATGTCGGAGGGGTTTCATGCACCGTTTTTTTAAAGTATAAGGAGGGACGTACAATTTTTAAAGTGTATAGAAAGAATTTACGTTGAATTTCGAAATCACAAAGAAATTATGCGCAATTTTGTCTTATTATTATTATTATTATTATTATTATGATGAAAGGTAATAGTTATTAATTTCAATAAATATGTAATTCTTAAAATTGATTCAAGAATGCCTGTAGTTTGAAGTTTTCCCCTGTCTCCACTATAAGCAACAAAGATGTATTTATCTGTGTATGTAATTATATATACAGACGTTACATCTTCATAAATATTTCATAGACTTATTATAACCATAGCTAGCTTATCTATGCCTATTTATTACAAAAATTCAACATTGACTCTAGAAGCATTACCTTCAATCTAATAATTAATCAAATTATAATGAGCTTGATTTAGATAGGAGTTTTGAAAAGTTTTACAGCTGAAAATTTTGAAAAATAATACAAAGTAACTATTTAATAGTATGATATTTTATTGAAAAAGTGATAAAAATTAAAAAAAAAAAAATTATTTAGGAGTATTTTTTAAAATTTAATTAGAAATGAAAAAAAAAAAAAGAGAAGATAAAAAAGGTAATAATATTTATTGTAAATATATATTAATGGAGAATAATATTAAAATGTTTGTTGACTTTCCAAAATTAGTAATAAAGTAAATTTGATGGACGAAAAGAATATAAAATAAAATAAAAAATTCAGTACAATAAATATATATAGAACACAAAGTATTTTATGTGATTTATAATAAAACAAAAATATATATTATATGATTTACCCAATAAATAAATTCATACAACACGCCTACAAATATGAATCGATACCCTATTTCATATGTGCTAATCATCCTAATACAATGGCCATCCCCTGCTCGATATGCTAACTTAAGATATATGACAAGAAAACTATTAATGTACAAAACAATACAGACCAAAACTAAGAAGCCAAAAAAAAAAAAAAAACATTGAAAAAACCTGAGGATTAGCTTCGAATGTAGTAAGAATCCAACCACATAGGGATGTACATTCATCAAATAGCCATGCCTATTTCTGCACAAGAGGATGCTTATTTCTGCACAAGAGGGTCCGCCGCCGTCGTCGTCGTCTCGATATTTCGATCCATGGCCTTTCTCAGAAGTTCATAACCTGCGAAGTTAATCGAACCCAAAGGCGCGACCCAAAAGAAGCGAGGCACGGCTCCTTTGAACAGCCCGAGAGGCCCTTCTTGCCGTACAACGGAGATTGCTATCAGCCACAACGACACATTGCGCCCCGGTGTAGTCATCATTCTTGTTTTTATTACGTCGAATGGAGTTGTCAGAACGGCAGTTAGGCCGCCGGTTACTGCACCGACAGCAATAGTTTCCCAAGGTTCCAGCTCGCGTCGCAGGAGGTGCCGGACAACCTGAAAACCAACAATGCGAATAAGTTTCAGTCCCGGATAAATAAATTGCACATTCATCCCAAAGTCGAATTTAAAATCTCATTATTTCCAGATATTTTTCCTAAAATCATATCTCAACAAAATATTTCCAACACGATCGATGAGATAATTCGGAACTGTGATTCGATGGTCCTAATATTGAACTTGAAATCATAATCTTAAAGATTCTAACATCTGAAATTCTTCCAAAGTGTTTGGATGTTCGAAAACACTCACGGATAAATATCCCGATTAAATTCAGCATCTTTAATACTTTGAATCCACAATTCATATCATTTATTCGACATATTGCATTATTACATATAGCATGTACGATAATACTCCATCCGTTCGCTCAAAAGGTATCCGCTTTGCCACTTTTGATCATCCAAACACAAAATATTTATTCCTTTTGTAATAAATATGAACCTAACCATACATTACAAATAACTTCAAACTTATACTTATTCACAACAGCATCATCACATTAATTCAAAAATTAAGGGAAAAATGGCTTTTATATACAAAAGATATCACCAATATAATAAGATTTATTAAACTCAGTACCAAAAATCAACAAATACTTTTCGAGCAGACGGATCAAGTATATAAAAATATATACACAATAACTCAGTAAAAAGTTATAACAATATAGTATATGGTTTGTTCTTGTGTGCACAATTTCCAATAAAAATACATAAATAGAAACACATACTTTTGTGATTTTTTTTTAAAAGCAATAGCATATCATATTTTTAACCAACAATATATCAACATACATGTTCCGACAAATTCGCCTCGCTCCCGACAATACTATACCAAGTTCTTCTAAGGAGTGATACTTAAAATGTAGATTTATCATATTTTGTAAAGTATTTCCCTTTTGTCAATCAATCACAAGCAATAATAGAAGTTAATCGATACCAAATTCCCAATTAGCTTCTAAAACTTTAGAATTACTACTATTATGTTCATCTTGTGATGCGATATGAAATGAAAATTTATCTTGACATTGCCCAAAATTCCGAAGGGAAATGAAATTAACCAACGCATTACTCTTAACTTTTTAAATTTTGTTACCTTCTTAGATTCCTCGTAAAATCCCATGCCAGCAACATAGAATGGAACTTCTCGGAAGATAGTAACACCCGTTCCACGAAAAAATGCCCCGGGACCATCCTGTCGCCAAGTCCCAACTATGGCTTCCCCAACAGTGTCGAACATACCTGCCTGCAACCTCTGCTTTAACACCTCACATGGAATACGCATTGCAGTTCCAAGAAAGGTGCTACAAAATGATGCGATCGATTGAACCTAAAAGCCATGGCTAGTATAAGTGTTGCTACCCATTAAGAGCTTCGAAGAAGTATCAAAAGAAAGATCGAAATAATGAGTCATATGAATAATTAAATTTTTTTAATTACATCTTTTTCCGAAGGATCAATGATTTTCATTACCAAAATATTGAGCTAAACTAGGTTTGATCATCGAGGCACCAACCTGTAATTCTGGAACTGTTGGTGCAACATTCATTAGCAACTTTTTGCTTGTTTCAAAAATTCCCATCCGAAGACCATGACTGCGTATATATATAATTTAACGATATTAAAATTTTGTACAGATTTTGTAAACCAAACAAGAGTGTGTAATCAATTGATACCTAGCAAATTGTCCTAATATAGCTGGAATAGACCCTCTATACAATCCCCGTGCTCCAATTTCAGGGAGTTTGGCCAAAATTTCCGGGAAGCTGAGGGTTGAAGCTTGCACTTGTGTCTGTCGGATAAACAAGTTGATGATGATCAGACAACCACCTCTTTAAAGCTGCAAAGTTATTGCAAATAGGATTTCGAAAGTACTCTAAGAAGATCACAAAACTACACCTTGTCCCGATGAAACTTCGTAATACTTTAGTTCCCAAGGCTGGTTGCAATACTAGAATAAGTTTAAGTATTTATTATAAGAGGAAATTCCTATACAGACGCATGAGTTACATGCTTTTTGCACAAAATTTCCCATATTTAATTTATTGCATGCTTAACACTTACGATATAGTACATTCTGCACAAAATCCCATTCCTTCCATAAGTAACAAAGCTATCAATCCACAAGTTGTTTGTACGCATATTATAAAAAAGTACATCCAAATATTTTATAGAAAGACGTAAATACCTTATAGGTGCGAATGAATTGTTCGAAACAAACAATTTCTCATTGGAATAGTGACAAAAGAAAAGAAAATACTAGAAATTCAACTTCGCCATCAAAAGTTAATTGTTTACACATGTCATTCTTTACAGTGATAAATTGTTTGTTTCGATCAAATTATTTGCACTTACAACTGTATTTATGTTTTTTTATAAAATATTGGGTGTACTCCTTTATATAATACATGACCAACAGTGCGTGTACCAACAATGCATGAGTTGAAAGCTCCGTTAATTATGGATGGTGTGGAGATTTTCTGCAAACTTTTTTATATCAGAACTGTTAAGTATGCATAAATTAAATATAAGAAATTTTATGCAAAGAAACGTATAACACAGGTGTTTGTATTGGAATTTACTCTTTATCATATTCATAGTTAAGGTTGCTAACATTTTTCAAGAGAAACTACTTACGAAGACAACTTTATGAACTAATGTCAATTGTAAGTTTTAACAATTATAAAAGTTTGGAGATAAGGATTCTAGACCACAGCATTGTACTTCTCATTTAACTTTTGCTCCATTTTTTTCAAGAAATTACCTTCACTGTGTCAACAGGGTGCATTAGAGCTGCAGAAAAAGCACAAGAAAGCCCTCCCGCCAATGCTGATTTAAGAACACTTCCGGAAGGCACTTCCACCGGTGGCGGAACAGCCACAACAGTAGCAGCTTCAAACCATATACTTCTGAGAACAACCAACCAAAGCCAGCGTAAGTCATCATTACACAACGATATACGCCACATCAAATTGAATCAAAAAGCATATAGAAATTACCGTGGATCTTCTTGAAGTCGGTCTGATGGAAGCAAAAGCATGAAATTTCGAAAATGACCATATGATATAGATTCCTCTGAATCAGCATTCAGAAAACGCATCATAGCAACAGCATTATCGTCATTTGCAGGGAGTCCAGCCTCCTGTAGAGATGTCAAGATTTCGCTTTTCTGTAGCATCCCGGATTTGCTTAAACAGAGGCTGGTATAAGCCCGAAGAATGGTGGGTTCTTTCTGTTCCATCAGGAACAGAAACTGCTTCCAGCCAAAGGATTTTGAGAGCAAGTGACTCCTTGCATGGCGCATGAAGTCACGAGCATATTTCGTTGGCAATTTTCTCTTTCTCATGGCTACTTCGAGATCTTCCAGGGTAACTTTTCCATCGTCATCTCTGTCTAACTCCTGAAAAAACCTCTTTCCTGCATTCAGGACCCATGTTGGATATTAAAATGATATGAAATCGAAAGAGAAAATTACTTGCGCTAACAAGAAAGCTTATATAATGAACTCTTCAGATATTCAACGTATAAAAGTCGAGGAAACTGAGCTATGACAAATTGCAGCAACATGCACATGGATATCTTGAATGTAATAATGTAAGCACATTAAAAATTGATCATCCAGAAAACATTACTGCCATGCATTTTTAATCAAAGTAAAGAGATCTTGAAGCAAGAAATCATACCTTCTGCTTCGGTATATCTGAAGAAGTCCTGTACAGAGAACAATTTCTTCTTGTCAGGATGGTCTTCTTTCAATGGTTGACCTATCTGTGGTAGAAGCTGAATTAATTCTATCAAAGAGACAGTTGACAAAGTTGATCTCAGACGCTCAACATTCGACATTGGAATGCTCAGCAATCTATTGGCCAATTTTTGTGGCGAAATAGCCCCACTTTTACCACTATTCACGACACTATTGATTTCCTCGTCCACTGAATCATTCATCAATGGCACTCCAACAATGCTCGATGGCAATCCTCCAACACGGGCAAAATTCAAATTGCCCAAAAATACATTCACATCTGCTCTTTTCTCTTCTAAAATACTGAAAAGTGTTTGAAATTGATCGAATGGATTAACGGCAGCCCCTGCAGCCTTTTGTTCTGTACTCTTCTGATCATTCCCTTCAAATTTTGGCAAATGATTCAATTGATTGACCACAAAACTTATCAAGAATTCAAATGGTGTATCTCTCCCTTCTCCCGGCTTCAACTTTTTCTTCTCATTTCCAACAACTTTCATTGATTTCATGTTTGAAACTTTACCACCATAATCATCAGCATTCCCCATCTCCCGAACCGACTTTTTCTCAGTTTTGAACAGTCGCGGTAAGGCTTTTACAAAACCATCAATAGACAACAACAATGGCATATCAGAATTCGAGGAATTCCTATCCCCTTTACCACCATCACCCTTTCCATGCCTTTGTTTCAACCCTTTATTCGATGACTCTAAATTTAATTCTAATCTATTGCCACTAAAATCTGTATTGCTGCCATCAATAATTCCATTTTTCTCTTCGAAGATTCCAACTAATACCTTCAAACAACCTTTATTTTTTCTCTTGTTCCAACTATTCACCTCACTATGGACACCATTAGAACAAACATTAGATTCTCTACATTTTGAAGCACCATTAAAGCAATGCTCAAACTTCTTAGTCACCTTCCGAAAGTTCGATTCTAGAGAATTCCGAACCGACTCCAATGGATCAATCCCTGATGCAACCATCACTACAAAATCCTACCTCAATCAAACCATACGCATCTCAAATCTCAATCCACTGCTCCAAAGTCAAACTTAAGTCCTAACACAAAAACTAACTACAAAAATACACCTCCGATTACCAATTGAAAACAACAAATCACGCAATAATCAGATATAAATCCAAAATCCAAAATCAAATCAATGGAGTAGTTCGACGGCAATCCGTGGGGAACACTATTAACTCTCGACGCCTTCTCTATCTATCTCTCCTATTCCTGAATTTCTATCAACAATATGAGCTCGAATAAACATAAATGTGTGCATATATACACCAGAAATGGAGGAATCTTTACAGAACTGGGAGGGAAGTGTACGCCCTTAACAAATCAAAACACGCCGAGCAGAATGAAATGCGCGAAAATTAGGCAAATTACATCGAGTTTCCGTCACCTGGAAATCCACTTTACACGAAATCCTTTGTGCTGAATTCAATGAGCTGATCAAATCTCTCTGAATTTTCTGAGAAGCGTTGAAGATGAACACGAAGAAAGGCCCTTTCAAGATTCCATTTTCGTTTTTATAATAGAAAGCTGAAAGAAGAACTACTATTTATATTTTAATGGCATGTCTGAAATTACAATTATGCCCTTATGCTTGATCATTGTCCAAATGATTGTTGGGGAGGGCATTTTGGACCATATATATTATAAATATTTTTAATACTTATTATAGTACATGAAGATTAGTTAATCACGTGATAAGTGAGAAGAAAACATTACTAAAATAACTTGCTTTATTAAATTACAATTATGCCCTCATGTTTGATCTTATCGGTTTGCCACGTCTCGTCTTTCTGACAAATGCTGTGTGGGAAAGGTGTATAGACAAACTAAGGACCGTTGGATCGGCCTAAGAAAAAAAATTAGAAATTAAAATTAAAATTAAAAATAAAAGTAAAAAATAGTTAGCTTTTAATTTTTATATTTAGATATAATAAATTAAAAATAATTATAAAAATAATTAAAGATGACATATTAATATAAATTGATAATTCTGTTAAGCTTTTTTTTTTATTTATTTTAAAATTTTATACATTAATATTTAAAAATTTTAAATTACCAACTTAATTAAAATATTTTATTAAATTCAACATATCAATTATTTTTTAATTATAATTATAAAATATAAATATAAATATAATTTAACTTCAAATAATTTATACTATACAATTTATTTGGAAATTTTATAAAGTATATTTTAAATTATTAAATTAAAAATTAAAATAGAATTTTATTTTTATTTTTATTTAAATATAGTATATAAAGTAATTATTTGTTAAAATATAATAATAAACTTATTAGTAGATATATTTTACTGTAAATAAACTATGCAAAAATTTGGCAGAAAAAAAAAATAACATAATTGTGACATATTGAAGAAAATAATTTACTTTTATTTAAAAAATTAAAAAAAAAGGACATATATATGTATAATAGTTTTAAAAAATTAAAATTATGTGTAAATAAATAAAAAAAATTATAAAATATGTATATTATTATTATACTCCTTTGTCCGATATAAGAGTTATATTCATTTTTTGTGTCATTACATTTAACATTAAAATACTTTTATATTTTTATATTTTATTATACAAATATTATTATATTTGTATTATAAAATATTAATAATGATATTTTAATTTTGTTCTCATAATTTGTATAATATTTTGATATAATAATTAATATTTAAATATAAAAATAAATAAATAAATGTAACTATTGTTGCTGAACAGAATATATTAAAGAATTATTCATTAATAGTCACCAACTCTTGTTTATAATTCATTTTGAAATATAGGTTTTTTCTTTTTTTTTTTTTTTGTTATAGCTTGAAATTAATTTAAAATTAAGAGTTTGATTTAATATTTTTTTAAATAATATTTATGTGATATTTTATAAAAATAAATTATATATTTTTACTAAAACCTATATTAAATGGTATTAATTTTAACGTAAAATATTATATATATATATATATAAGCGATTCTTAATGTGCCTTTACTGTATATTTTAGAGGTAAGTTTGAAATTTTAGATTAAAATAATTATTTGAAATAATATACATAAATATTGAAGTAATGTTATAAATTTAAAATTAATTTTTAATTTAATAAGAAAATAAATAATATATACTATTTACATTCGGCTCTAAGAGTTTCATTTACTTTTTGTACATTGATCTTTGAATACTAATTATTATATCAAAACGTAGTACAAATTAAGAAAAAATGACGAAAATACTTCCATTAGTGTTGTATAGTACTAAGAAAAACATTTGTACAAAAAGTATACAAATATAAGGATATTTTTAATATTAAATATAATGATATATATCATCTGCCCGACCAGCTCAAACTGGATCACCGCCACGCCATACCGTAAGGCTCGTTCATTAACCAACTAGTCCTACGTTGTGGCGCAAAGGCTAAAATAACCATTACAAAACAACTACTTAGAAATTTAGAATTAAAGTGCACCGACTTATCAATTAAATAAGTAAAGTTCGAATAAAAAACATAAATTGAAAATATTTATGTGATTTGATAATTTAAAAAGAAAAAATATAAATAATAAAATTTTGTAAAAATAAAATACACACAAACACAGCCTTGAGTTTGAATTGTTATGTTATTTTGAAATTTAATTTTACTATTATGCCGTTCCTTTTTTAAAATATATTACTCATTCGTCCCATTCAAAGGTTATCATTTTTCATTTTTGTCCGTCTCAAAACAAAATTACCATTTCCTAATTTAGTAATTGCACTACCTAGTTAACATAATAAATATCATTTCAACTTACAATATATTACACAAATGTCATTACTTTTATATTATACCATACTAATAGGGGTATTTTTGTCTTTTTTACTACAATCCAATATAATACTAATATTAAAAAAATTACTTGCAAAAAGCAAACGACGCCCTTCTAACTGAACGAATGGAGTATTTTATTTTATAAAATCTTATATTAAATTATTATTCAAATTAAAAATTAAGATAAAAAATAAAATTAAATTCCAAATAACACCCCCAATAAAATTTGAATTTACAAATTCCAAGTAGAATTATGGATATATACCTATTATCCTTCTTATTTTGTATTTATCTCGCTGATAAAATATATTATACATGTTTACAAAAGTCGTTATTTATGTGTTTTAACCATATGTGACGTTCATATCACGCAAAATTACACGCGATCACGAGCGTCTATACGCAATCAAATTATATCGATTTTTGCAAACATGTGAGATATATTCTACTATCGAACTAAATATATGACAAAAGTAATAATATAGTATACATGGAGAATATTTTTTATTTTTCCACCGACCTCATAAGTATTGATGGCTAAGTTGTCTAAAATTTTTTAAGGCATTTCTTTATATTTTAAAATTAATTTTGTCACTGATCATCATTAATATGATTTTACTAAAAAAAAAAGATTATCATAGTATTACAATACCTATTAACACCAGATTAAATATGCTATATATTTATTTGTCCAATTTTTTCTGGTTAATTTTTAATTTATATATTTTATTCTTTCATAAAATTTAAAAATAATATAAAATATTATTTTTTAAATTAACAACATCATTTTCTATACCTAAAAAAAAATCAAATAAAAACATTAAATAAACAATATATTTATAAACTATTTAGTCTATTAATAATTTTTTTTTTACTATTTCTAAATTATTAAAAATTAATTAATTAAGTAATTAAAATTATAGACGCTCTTAAAACGTGTCAAACGGAAGATAAAGATATGAATAGTTTTATACGATTTGGTTTAAAGAAGTGGGTTTAAGTTAGGTGGGTGACATTATTGAGAAAAGACCAAATTAATTTAATAGACAAAAAAAAAAAAGGAAAAAGAAAAGGTGTTTTGTATGTATATTTAATTCCAACATGTTTTTTTTTTTTTTTTTTTTTGCATCATGTGTGTTGATGTGGTGTTATGATTTTATATATATATATATATATATATATTAGAAAAATATGTGTATAATATAATAAATAAGATTTTGAATTGAATTTTTTATTATTTTTTGTTCTTTTGGTTTCTTCAATCTATTTACTAGTGACAGGGGCAACAATGTTGGGCTCAGACTCAAGATGAAATGACTCATGACAATCATGCCTCAAAATAAAAGTTGGCGCATTATTCTAAACCTCGGCATCCAATGAAAATCGATACAAAGGGTTTGAAATCCTCACCAAAACTTTCTTAGAAATCATTGGAATCACTCACCGGAAATCCTTCGAAAAATCCTCTCGGGACTTCCCTCTCTCTCCTTCTAAATTCTTTTTATTTTTCACTTTATAAAAAACTAACTCACACTATAATTCACCATTTAACTTAATCTCAAACAATACACACGGTTACAACCAATTTTAGACAGCAAAACTAAACATAAATTGGGTTGGCTTAAAGTTTGGGTAAAAATTTTAGGGTCGAATCCGATGAGTCGGATTAAGGAGTAGATCAACTTTATCATATTATCGAAAAACTTGTTACGTTATGCCTTGAAGGACCAAAATTTTCAACAAACACTACTTCCAATTCAATCATAAATGTCTCACAATTCTAACTCTCACCTATTCCTATTCCCTTCTTTAGCTCATCAACATAATTCATGTATGTCAAAACACTTGGTGTATTTGTTCGTGGGTTTTAGTTTTTGGATTTGGATTTTTGAATAGTAAAAAGTTGAATTTGAATAGTTGTTTGATGTAATATAAATAGAGATTGATGTGATGTTTTGAATATGAAATAAATTTATAATATAATATAAAAAAATAATTATTTGATATAATATATTGAAAAAAAATAAATAAATAGTAAAAATTTATGGTAAAATCCACAAAAGAACACAACCTTCATGTTTCCAAATTCACTCAAAAGAGTGAATCAAACACACCATGTATGATCCTCGGAGTTGGACCGTTGCTTGGTCAATTTCCGTGTATGAATGAGCCGGTGTTAGACCATCCGAAAATTGAATAGTAATTAAATGGATTAAATAGATTAGTTATGTCAACAATGTGCACATTTTTTTTCGAAAGTCTCACTGAAAGATTTCTAAAGTTAAGTGTACCTAACTTAGAGTAATTTGAGGATGTATTTTTTCTTATTTTTCTTCACCTGCCACGGTGCGGTGATTGCTTGACCGTTGAGGTTCGTATATATATATATATATATATATTTTATCGAAAAAAAAGGATAAAATTCTTCGTAAAATTTATATGTACTTTAAAAATTACATGACATTCATAATTTAAAAAACATTGTATCCACCCTATGAAATTTTCGTTGTGTGATGATTTTCTATTCATATTTTTTGTATGACAAGAGGTTTCATGCCGTATTTTTTAAAGTATCAGGGGACGTTATACAATTTATTTTAAGTAAATTGTAAATTTATACTGAATTTCAAAATCATAGAGGTTTCATGGAATGTTTTAAAAAATATAAGAGGTTCCATTTTTAAACTAAATGGAGATTTACGCTGACTTATGGACAATTTTGCCAAAATAAAAAATAAAAAAAATGAAGACAGGCGGTTGGCGGTTTACGGTTAGGCGGAAATAGGAACCGAAACGTGAAAACCGGTTTTGCTTTCGATTCTATGCCGGTTTGAAACGGGTTAGTCACGTCGTCTATGTTCTCCCGCTTCGAATCTGAGATTTACTTGAATTGAATATGTTCGTCTCGGTTTGGAAATTGGAACATGTCAGAGAATTGGACGCAGTTAGAGTAGAGGCTGGCCGTGGAAATCGACGGCTGTGATAATCGCATTCCCGTCTATAAATATGCGCTTCATTTTCTAGTCGCCGCATAAATACTGCAATTCTAAACTCTAAAATGGCGACGATCAAGAGCGTCAAGGCCAGGCAGATCTTCGATAGCCGCGGCAATCCTACGGTCGAGGTTCGTCCTTTGCCGAAAATTTAAATATGCTGTTGTAATGTTGGTCCATTTCGCGGCAATCGATTTGCGGTAATTGTAGTTTTAGGGTAGTCTATTTGCTAGAGAATCTAGTTTGCTAACTGCCAGAATTGCGGATGTGATGTTGAGATAGTTTGATTCGTGATCCTTCGGCGTTATTTTAGGTCGACGTGCATCTGTCGAATGGAATTTGGGCGAGAGCGGCTGTTCCTAGCGGCGCATCAACCGGTAAGATATATAGACGTCCACATTTTTGTTGCCCTAATTTTTCCGACGTTTTTGGATTTTTTTTGTTAAGAGACCTTGAATTCTTTGGATATGATACTGCTATGGCCTATGCATGTCTTCGTTGATGTTGGAGATCCATCTCTTTACACTAACTATACTTTTTAGCTAATGGAGTGGATAGAAATTAGAATCTAGAATGTTCGGTAATTCTGATGATCGTCTATCTGATCTGTTATACTTCAGGGGTTTACGAGGCTCTTGAACTGAGAGATGGTGGATCTGATTACCTTGGAAAGGGCGTTTCAAAGGTAATCTAGATGATTGTTCATTAGCTTTCTATGTGATTCCAATTGTTATTTTCTGATCCTAAATGATTTTGTATATCTTGGTAGGCTGTTGAAAATGTGAACTCAGTCATTGGACCAGCCCTAGTTGGAAAGGTTTGTTTCGAAATCTCAACAAAAGTCTTATTATTGTTATATATGTATTCCACATTGGAAGAATTTTGTCGAACTGGTAAGAATTACGAAGAGTTAAATGTTTTTTATTCACGAATATTTTTGGCATGATACTACCGTGAGGGCTCAAATCAGCTCAACTGTGGTTTCTCTTGCAGAACCCGACAGAGCAGACAAACATTGACAATTACATGGTTCAACAACTTGATGGAACTCAGAATGAGTGGGGCTGGTGCAAGCAAAAGGTAATTTTTAACACGAAAATTGCATGTCTTTGTGATAATTTTTTCATCGAAAGGATGATACTTATTGTGAAAAATGTTTAGCTTGGAGCGAATGCCATTCTGGCTGTGTCGCTTGCTGTGTGCAAGGCTGGTGCTGCTGTCCTCAATATCCCTCTATATAAGGTATTTAGGGCCATCCTTCTCTACTAATTCATTAATTGGAGTTGCCGTAATAGTGGCCGTGCCATGTCTTTGTTGATATAATTGCTTTCTTTTTATTTCCTCTTCAGCATGTTGCTAACCTTGCTGGTAACAAGAAGTTGATCCTGCCTGTTCCTGCTTTCAATGTCATTAATGGTGGATCACATGCTGGAAACAAACTTGCTATGCAGGCATGGCTAATGACTAATGACATATTTATGCGGGATATTATGTGTTGCTATTTGATTGTGTTACCCTTTTTTTTTTTTCTTCAGGAATTTATGATTCTTCCGGTCGGAGCTTCATCATTTAAGGAGGCCATGAAAATGGGTGTGGAAGTGTATCACAATTTGAAGGCATGTCAATATCATTTATTTTTGGGTAAATTATATAAAAACAGTGTGCTTTAGTAACTTGAATTAAAGTTTGCACATAACACACTTTCTCCAAAGTTGATGTTTGCGTGTAAATACGAACTTAATTGTGTAAGTTTTATGCAAATAAAATATTTAAATATATTAAATACTCTTTTTTTAATAAACAAATTATTTATCAATTCTCTCGTGTAATAGTTTTTTGGACGTGAGTTTTACAAAAACAATAAAAATGAAAGAGTTGATCAATTATTTATTTTATTAAAAAAAATTATTTTAAATATTTTATTTCTTATATTGGTATAAAACTTGCATAATTTAGGTTCGTATTTACAATTAAATATTAACTTTGGATGAAGAGTTTTGTACATTTTTACCAAAATATAAAGGAGTTTTATATAATTTACCGTTTTTTTTTGCACTCATATTGTCACTATTCCAAAAAAATTCTAGTGCCATTACATAAGCCTGTGGCTCCCTTTTATAATTTTCCTATCATCCATCAGCATAATGTTCATTATGAACTCAATACATCATTTACTGATAAATATTAATTCCCTATGAATTTTAGTCGGTCATCAAGAAGAAATACGGGCAAGACGCCACCAATGTTGGTGACGAAGGTGGCTTTGCTCCAAACATTCAGGTTATATTTGGTTCCGGGTTGCTCTCAGCATTCGATCATTCTGTTTTTACCTACATATTGAAACTCCACCTGCTTTGATCCCTCAGGAAAACAAGGAAGGCCTGGAATTGCTGAAGACAGCCATTGAAAAAGCTGGTTATACCGGCAAAGTTAGCTCCTTTCTGTACACCCTTAATTCTTTTTAACGCCCGGAGACACATATAAATTGGTATTATCTCCTCATTTTCGCTTCTGGATATAGGTTGTTATTGGGATGGATGTTGCTGCATCCGAATTTTATGGATCTGATAAGAAATATGATTTGAACTTCAAAGAAGAGGCAAGTTTAAAGTTCTTAACTAAGAGATCTCTCTCCCGCATATACAATAATAGTTTATGTAGTTGTTGACATTACTCTAGCAAATAATTATAATGTTATGCTGCAGAAAAATGATGGATCACAAAAGATCAGCGGCGACCAGCTCAAAGATTTGTACAAGTCATTTGTGTCCGGCTATCCTATTGTATCAATTGAAGATCCATTCGACCAGGATGACTGGGGCACCTACGCAAAACTTACAGGTGAAGTCGGTGGTCAAGTGCAGATTGTGGGAGATGATCTTCTTGTCACCAATCCAAAGGTGATCGAAACTTTTGTCCAAAAGTTCTTCATACTGTGGCTAATGGTATTAGATGACATTATGCAAATTTTTTCTTTTTTTTTTCGTTCCTCGACTTGTTGCAGAGAGTTGAAAAGGCAATCAAGGAAAAAGCATGCAATGCCCTCCTACTCAAGGTATTGTTCTATTGTTGTTTCGAACTTGGCAAAAATAGTTATAACCTGCATTGCATCATTTTCTCTTATGATCTAAAAATTGCATGAGAATTCCTATATTTTTAAAACATTGTCTAAAATTTCTTTTTTAGGAAATTATGTGCAATGTTTTAAAAAATACAACAGTATCATGCAATTTTTAATGGATTTTGTATTATAAGTTTTATAAACATGAGAGGGTCTCATCTATTTTCTAAATATAGTGCAAATTTTTTAAACTACAAATAAATTATAAGCAATTTTGCTTTGAACTTTAAGTGTGTTCTTTTATAGGATTTTACCCAAAATTTAATAATCAAAATTTTTTCCTCAAAAATATCAAATCAAATACTTAATTTTTATTTTTTTATATTATAATAAAAATTAATTTTATATTAAAAAACATCGTATCAATACTTGTTTATACAACTATTTCAATTTAAAACTTTTATTATTCAAATCTCGAAACCAAACACACCCTTAAACTTTTTTCCTATCAGGTAAACCAAATTGGATCTGTGACAGAGAGCATTGAAGCAGTAAGAATGTCGAAGCGCGCGGGGTGGGGTGTGATGGCCAGTCACCGCAGGTATGAACCCACACACTCTTGACATCTCCAACATAACCTTGATTGGATAACACCAGATCATTCTGTGGGTGGATGCAGTGGAGAGACTGAGGACACTTTCATCGCAGATCTCTCGGTTGGCTTGGCCACGGTATTCTCCTTTGCATATGCTATTTTACATGTTCCTTTCATAGTCTGATAGTCATACTCAGTCATCATTAGAGTTGTTAAACGAGCCGAGCGAGCTTGAATATCGGTTGTTCGAGCTCGACTCGAATTTGTTAATGGTATAGCCTCAGCTCAGCTTGTTAAGAATTCGAATTAAAATAGTGGTCTAAACTCGGCTCGTTAAGCTCAAATTCAAACGTTTTATAATACTAATAAAAAGATATTTGTAAAAAAATAATTATACAAATATAAGGATATTTTTAAATGTGACCCTCAGAGGCGATCGAAGAAAATATATTTTTTTAATATATAAATTAAATGTATTTAATTTTATTTATAATTTTTTATAATAAAATATTCAAATTTCAATAATAAAAGTAAATTTTGATATAAAAAATTATATTTATTATATTAATACATAAATAATATAAATATATTATCACTGACAAGCTCAACTGAGCTACTTGCGGGCTCGTTTATAAAAAAATAATTTTCGAGCTCGGGCTCGAGCTCGACTTGTTTATATAGATAAACAAGCTGAGTCAAGCTGTTAACGAGTAGAGTCGAACTTGGCTTGAAGTTATTATATATATATATATATCCATATTAACCCTTTTGCTGAAAGAAACTCAACTAAAAATCTTCAGGGCCAAATCAAGACTGGAGCTCCATGTAGATCAGAGCGTCTTGCTAAATACAACCAGGTTCATCATCCAGCCTCTTTCTTTCTTTGTTTCTTTCTTGTACCAACACTGTTCTCTCTCTCTCTATATATATATATATATATCGACAATACTTATATATTTTGTTGTGTGCAGCTGTTGAGAATTGAAGAGGAACTGGGGTCCGAAGCAGTGTACGCTGGATCCAAATTCCGTACGCCGGTGGAGCCTTACTAAACTTTGGCCCTCTGAGTTAAACCACCATTGCGGATAATGGCTGTATTGCATTTTCGAAGAGCAGTGGCTGCGGATTAAATAAAGGTTATTTAAAAAAAAAAAAAGAATAATAATGGCCGTGTTGAGTCCAGAGCCAGTGTGTGGGGCTCATTCTTTAACACTGTATTTAAATATACAACTAATTATTATTATTGCATTCTTTTACTAAAATAATTGTATATTATTTCAATTTTTAGCTCTAACTCAACAATATTTATAAGGTTACAGGGGTATATATACTTTTTTCATCGATTAATAAATTATTTATTATTTATTTTAGTTTGTCTTAAAATAAAATATCTATTTTTTTTAGTAAGTCTAATATTTATCTACCATTACGAATATTCTTAAATTTTACATTATATTATGAAAATGCCATTACAATATTTGTAACCAAATTATAAAATTAAAAGCACAATTACTAATTAAACTAAACTATACCACCTATTACTTAACACATATGAGTTTTGATTTGAAATCAACATATTATTTACTCAATCAGCACTTTAATAGTTGGCAATGCCTTGCGTAATTGATATATATTGTAATGTAATTAGACAGCACAACGTTTATTACATGCAACCTCACAGTCAAAACCACAATCCACAACCAAAAACTGCACCAAAACACCAATTACCCCTTAATTAATTCCACTATTCACAATCCAATCCCAATTAATTAGACACAAAAAAACACACCACAATCAATCCATATATATATATATATATATATGTATAATCTCACCACCACCATAACAATAACCATAGCATAATACTTGCAAAACTCAGAAATTCCAAATATATATATATATATATATATATTACCTGTTAATTGTTTCCATGGCGTCGACCTTGGGAGGCCCAGAGTGCCGCCTGGGGCGGCCGTCGGGAGACGCCGAGAAAGACAGGCGCTTTTTGACAGAGGCCGGCGAAGAATTACCCACCCTGCTCCTGCTCCTGCTGCTGTCTCCTCCCGATCTTCCAAGCGGGCTGGGCGGGCGGGCCTTAGCCCGGGTCGACTCCGTCGACGCCATGTAGCGGCGGCTGCCGCTGCCGGTGGGGCAGCTGGAGAGGCTGACGTCGTCGTCGGAGCCTGTGCGGCGGCGATGGTAGGACCGGAGGCTCTTTATTGAGGAGGAGTCGTCTTTGTCTTTGGCACTGTTGATTATGTTTGTGGTGGCTGCGGAGGAGCCTCTGATGGAGATGGATTTTGTGGAGGTGGGCGTTGATGGGGACTGGCCGCGGCGGCGGGGAGACTGCGGCTTCTGGTCGGCGGCGGCGGCGGACATCCAGCGCTCTAACCAGCTCCAGCCCCAGCGGGGATTGTTGGGATCCATGAATGTCTGCAGCTTATTGGATGTGGTACTACCGTTTGTCGGGTTCCTCCATGTTTGCTGCAGTATCATCATCAAGTTTCTTCAGTTCATCTTAACAATCATATATACATAACGGGACCATATATATATTGGGATCAATTAGCTACTTCCAATGAATTGTGTCATATGTATTTTTTTTAAAAAAAATAAAAAATTAAATACATGGGACTAAAGGTGATTAATCAATAAACAAAGTTACGAGTCATTGGGTTCAATAACAAACGATTGAGTTAGCCTATTCTCTCTGTACTCACCAATTAAAAATATATATATATATATATATGTATAATTAATTTATTTATTTATTTTATCAAATATAAATATATTTGTAAATTAGCTCTCTAGAACGTCATCAAACGACGACAATGGAGCGATGCAGGTGAGTAAGAACGTGTATTTCTAAACTGGTGGGACTGGCAAAATGGAGACAGATGATCTCGTCCCATATATAACAACCAAGTTGTAGGTTTAATTAATAATTATTTCAAACGAATACAACGACACATGGTTTGTCTAGTGGAATTTATCTTATTAGATCGAAGCTTAATTTATAAACTATTAGAATCAGCACGGGGTTTATTCCCAAAATGCGTCGGAAGGATAGCTACTGCGTTCCCATGTTATATATATAAAAAAAAGTACAAAAATCTATGGGGACTTGTATATATATTCTTTCATTTCAAATAAAACGAAATATGAGGTGTTTAAAATATGAGTAAAAATATTTGTTTATTGAAGAGATTCAAAAAAAAGTTTTGAGTAGATCTCTAAGGTGTGTTTGTTTCGGGATTGGATTGGATTTACATTATTTATCTAATTTTTTCCCCCAAAAGCATCAAATCAAACACCTATTTTTAATTTTTTATACTATACTAAAAATTAATTTTACATTCAAAACATCACATCAACACCTATTTATATCACATCATACAACTATTCAAATTCAAAATTTTTACTATTCAAATCCCAACTAAAATCCAAACCCCCAAACAAACACACCCTAAATTAATTTTATATTAGTTAAATATGTTTAAAATCAATAATTTGATTAAAAATTAGAAAAAAATCATCTTCCATGAAATAGAAAAAAACAGAAGGTGATAGAAATTTAAAAAGAAAATTGAATAGTCACTTACATATGATTATGAAGTTATATATGTAGTTACTAAGTTATATATTACAAAATTAGTTAAGTTGATTTATATTAGTCGAAATAAAATATAATATATTAAAATAAAAAATGTATGTCATTTGTTACAAAATTGTTATCAAATAATTAATTTTTTTTAATATTATATAGATACATTCATATATAATTAACTTATAAAAAGATATAGAATAATTTTAAAATATTTGTTAATAAATAAAATTGTACCCCGTCCCACTTTATTTTTTTTATTTTCGTTGTTTCACATCATTTATTATTTTTTTAAAATATAATTATAAACTTTAATCACAAATTCAAATTGAAATTTTAATTAAATTATTTAATTATTTTATTTTTAATCTATAATTATTTTTATAATTTTTAATTACTTATTAATTATATTTTACCTAAAACACTTTTTTATTGAGACGGAGGGAGTAATTAGTAAATTAAATTTAAAAAAAAAAAAAAGAAGAAGATGATTTTAAAGTTGGAAAGCCAGCCAAACAAATCGCACTCTATAATTTTCTTGGAAAGCGACGAAAGAATGCATTACCTGATGTGAATAAGCATAGGCCAACGCCCGTTCCCTACGGACAGCAGCTTCTTCTCTGCCCCGACGACTTGCTTCGATCTGCTCCTTAGATCGAATGCTATCATCCCAATTCTCTCCAATCTGTTTCCACAAATTTCATGAATGAGATTCTTACAGGTCAAGAATGATGAAAACAATGCTACTTACAGATACTCCCTGCAGCTTCTCGACCTCCTTGTCACGTTTCAGCTGGATCTGTCGCTGAAGAGACAGGTTCTCTTCAGACATTTTAATTCTCCTCGTTCGAACCTCGAATTGCACGCGCGCCATTGTTTGCATACACTTTAAAGTGTTAGTCGATTGCCGTTTTGCTGATTGTGATCCTATCAAAGATTTTAGTCTCACGAGTCCTTTCAACGCCCTCAACGCTCGCCTTGCCTGAAATTACACAAACAAGAAGAGTTCATAATTATTACATTTTGTAGAAATTTTAGAATTGCAATTAAATCACAATAATAACAACTTAATATAATGAATATAATCAAATAATCTAAATCATAACTTAAATACTCAAATATGTGATAACTAAAAAATAATTTAAGTTTGCTAAGAAAAATCTAAATTGTTCACCGTGTCATAATCAAAACAATACTGTCAATTAAGTTAGTGTCGAAAATAAAACTCACTATAGTTAAAAATAGAACTAGCTCATAACAAAGTTAGAATGAAAAACATGACTCATTCGTAGTAATGAAGTTAGACTTGAAAAGAAGACAATGCAATAGAAAATAAGATTTTGAATGAAATTTTGACAAACAATAAAAAAATCAAACAATAACTTTATTGAAATTGAAAAGAATATTTTATGAAAAATAAATTTGAAAGACGAGATGAATTTTAAAATTAGGAGACGCTTAGATATATTGTATAAAAAATTACGATATTTTTTTATATCATATTAAATAACCTTCTCATCTACTAGCAACAATTTAACCAAGAATAATAGCAGAAGCATATGTAATGAAAAGGCTATATAAGCATCAAGCATCATAAATACCAAGTGTCCCCTGAAAGCTGTCTGAATCTTGATTGCAGCTAACTCTTCCTTTGTTCGACCCATGTACCGAGCGGTTGATGTGAGCCGGACCACCTCGGCAGCGGCTTGAGCGGCGGCAACCACCGCCTCAGCTGCTGCGGCAGTCGCCAAAGCAACGGAATAAGCATGCCTGTTATGCTCATCCTCAGCTTCATTCAGCTTTGTCTCCTCCACAGGAGAATGAACTGCTGCTGGAGCTGATATTGAACTCTCTGCAACACCAAAATCTGTGCTCCTCAGTTGCTCCAACCATTTGTCCGAGCTTCGATCTCTCTGAACATCAAAATTGAATTCGTTCTGTGTTCATCTCCAAAGAAATTCAAAAGGGAAAACAGGGAAAAGGAGGAAGGGAATTATGGAAACTGTTGTATACATTAGCTATATACCTTTACTCTTTTCTGTTTTGATCCGCAGCTGACTACTCTTTTTACTGCAGTAATAAAGCCTCCTTTTCTCCCCATACTTAATTAATAAAGCTGACAGGATGAACGTGAATTGCTTCACTTTTCGAAGAAATTTAACCTAAAGTTTTTTGTTCATCTGGATTGAAGATAAGCGGAAATATATATAATTTCAGCACCATATTCAGATGATTTAATTGTATTTTCAGATTCTGATATGAATCCATAATTTCACATCTCTGAGAACAGATCTACTGAACAGAGTCACAGCATCAAAGTTCCTTGACAATATTAACGATAATTTCTTCGCGCACAACCGCTATACAGAGAAGAAAAAAACTTACCAAGCACTAAAACTTGGAAGAAAGGAGGAGAACCTCCATAACAGTGCAAATAACAAAATTACGCAGCAATTGAACAAATCGAAACTCGTCGAAAAGAATTAGAACCAAAAATCCGTGTTCGAGACTTCATTTCTATCCACTTCTTCTCAATTTAATCGTGTCAAAGACGAATAATTGAAAATCCGTAGAAAACCTACCTCATTACATTAAAGCACGCACTTAACGAGCTCAGGGAACCTCTTCCCCCAAATTCCCCCACAAGCAACCTGCAAAGAAGACAGAACCACCGATAAAAACAATTAAAAGCTAGTTTCTCGAGGAAACGCAAGCAGAAAACGTAAAGTTGACAAATCTACGCTAAAAGTTCCACAAAATTCCGAGCGCCGATTGGAAAGCGTACCGCTGACAAATCTTCACAGAAAGTTGCACCAAATTCCAAGCGCTGATTACAAAAATCCAACTCTTGCTGTTCCTCTTCCGCCGCCCCTAATAACAGCAATCAGCTACGGATTCAGCGAATTTGCGACGAATGGCGCAGAAGGAAAGGAAGATAGAGAGATCTTAATCCGAATGTTGGTGAAGAACACTGAAGTTGTTGAAGAAAATTGTATATATGCCGGTACAGAGGACAGGACAGGAATAACGGACTTCGACAGTCTTGAGAACGCATCACCGTACACGTGTCCCTATCTGCCACGTGGACGGTGGTTGAAGTAGACGGTGAACAGCACCGGATCGAGAAGTTGGAGTTTGGGTATTTGAAGCACAAACGGCCTCCAGAGTGGGGCCCACGCGCCTACATGTGATTCTGACTGCATGTTTGTTTACTGCCCTGCCCCCTTCTGCTTATTGCATTATTTTTTTATTAATTAAATTTCTCAATTTGATTAAATTTTTTTTATTTTTGATTAACTTTTTTTCTAGTTATAGCATTCCACAAATGTAAATTGAATTTTTTTTTATATAAATATATTTCTCAAATTATAGTCAAAACTACAAATATTTTCTGTTTTACTAATTACAGTTATGAACTTTTTATAAGAAGACTTTTTAGTTAATTACGGAAATGTAATTTGACTGAGTTATTTTTTCATCTAAAATAAGTTCAAAGACTTTTCTATTATGCACTTATATTGAATTTTTTTATTATTCATTATTTTTTAAAAATACATCAAATCAAATATTTTTTATATTATATTAAAATTTATTTTATATTTAAAATCTCAAACTAAAATATAACTCCACAAACAAATTTTTTGTAATTTAAAATAATTTATAAATTTAAATAGTAATTTATTTAATGTTTTATAAAATAGAATTAATATATTTTTATTAAAAAATTATACTAATAAATAATAGTGATTTCAAAATGAAATCAACAAACAAGCCCGGCATCAATAAAATATGGACTTTTCTTTTTTTCTTTTTTTCTTTTTTTTTACTTTTATTTGTTTTTGTATATGTACTTTATTTTTGGGTAAAATAATTATTGAATATAATATTTTATATATAAAAAAATGTAAAATTGATACAAAAAAAAATCAATATATATAACACTAAGTCTAAATATTTCTGTTGTTTTCAAATATAATGTCTAGTTTTTTTGTTATATATATATATATCATGTAAAAATACTACTACCTTCGTCCCATAGTGTGGGTAAAATTTATTTTTTGGATGTAAATTTTTTAATATTAGTATTATATTGATTTGCAGTGAAAAGAACAAAAATATTCTTATTTGTATTATGTAATGTAAAAGTAACGATATTTGTATAATATATTGTAAGTTGTAAGGATATTTATTATATAAAGTAGGTAATACAATTACTAAAAAAAATACTACTATAATAAAAAAAATACTTTTAACAAATATCAAAGATAAATTATTACCATATATAGTTGGAAATTGGCAAGTTTTCATATGGTAATTAATTTAGAAATTTTCAATATCTGTTACATATGCTAATAATTTTATATATAAATATATAATTATATTATGAGTTTAATTATTCCTTAAAACGTCGTTATAATATATGTACGCGTGTGGTGTTAAATACATGTATATTTGTTTGCGAATTGTTCAATTAAATTAAATAAATATAATAATATTATTTTTATTTTTATTTTTATTTTTTTTTATGAAAAATAAATAATTGGTGCAGAGAAATAATAGAGAACAATATTTGCAGCGTTCCATACTTATTTGGAAGCATGTTGTTTTTAACACAGTTTTCATGTGAGTGCACACCACATCCTCGTCTACATCATCATCATCATCATCATCATCATTTATTATTATTATTATTATTATTATTATTATTATTATTATTATTATTGGCTCTCAAAGCATTAGAAATACATTATCAAATTGAAGTTTGGTCACAACTTAAATCAAGTTTTATGATACGTTATTATGTTGCAGCAAAATTCTCTAAATTAATATTTCATATGTGTTGCATTCTAATTTTTGTAGAAAAAAGTTACACATTATAATGGCATTTTAAATTTAGTAATCTATAATTTTTAAATTTCAAAGAATTTTAATTAGTTGTCTTAATTTAGTTTTATAATTATTAATTTGTATTATATTGTAATTATTTTATTAATATATATTTTTTAATTAATTACTAATTACGATCACTTTTAAAATCTCAAGATACTTATATATATATATATATTTGTAGGGGATATGAAGTATTATATTATCTCTAATCAAAATTAATTTATCTATTTTATCATTTAGTAAACAAACTTCTCACTCAATAATAAAATACTCTTACACTAAATTATCAACATCTTGTTATTATATATATAATTTATTCATTATTCTTTTATTATTATTTGAACTAAATATTAACAAAATACTAATATTTCTTAATTTATTTTGCCAAAACTAATTGAATGCATAATTAAATGGGTAAAAGAGTAGTATTTATAAAATTAATTGTTTGATTTTATTATTATTATTAATTAATCAATTAATTATTATGGTAATATATATATATATGTGTGTGAGTATAAAGAATATATTGGGAACAGCATTTGACCAAATCTTGTTCAAGTTGAACACAGAAATATATACATACATACAGCACAGATTTGACAAGTGTTCATTATATATATAAAATATGATTTAATTAAAATATTTCATGTTTATGATGAATTAAGGCAGCCATGTTTTGAGACTTTGAACTGCAACTTGTAATATATATATATATATATATATTTATATTTGTACTCCCTCCGTCCCGAATATTTTATCATTTTTATTATAAATACGAAAATTTAGGAAGTGTATAATTAATAAATAATTAAAAATATATTAGTGAAAATTATTATCGTATAATAAAAATAATTATAAATTAAAATTAAAGTAATTTGTTAGTATAATTAAAATTTAAAAACTATAAATTAATTTTTTTTAAATAAAATTAAAGTGTATAATTCTTTTCAAAAAAAGAAAGTGACAAAATAAGTGACACGGATGAAAATGAAAATATGGACATAAGAAATGGGACAAAGAGATTAATATTTTTGTGGTATTGTTTGTGCATCATATGATTGTTTCATTGTGGTGGACACACTGTGTTTCTTTTCAAATTCTTTTAGTATTTGAATTTTATATTTTCTAAATATATATATTTTTTCATAAAATATTACATAAATTATTATTTAAATAAAAAAATTAAATTTTCTTATTGATCAATGATCATGCATGTATATATTATTACATTTTAAATATTAATAATATTTATCATATCATGCCATATTCATATATATATATATATATTTTATAACGTTGGAACCCGCAGCCGCTACCCCGAAAGTGCGCACTGGGTAAACCCTCGGCCGGACCTAATACCTGCAATCTTATGTAACCTAATTTGATGCTTTCACCCTAACACTACAAAAAAATTAGTATATTTGTAAGGGAATTCCGTTCCCAAAGTTCACGTAGCTAACGTAATTCCATCTCTAATTCCGTCTCTAATATCATTAGTAACAGAAAAAATGAATATAGTAACGAAAAAATCTCGTTACAAAATTGATAATTTCTTGTAGTGTAATTTCATCCCCAAGAATGTATCTTGATGAATTCATGTAGATTCTCTTTTCAAAATGTACAAAGGAAAAATAGACACTATGCTATCCTAAATAAATAGATCAAGATTGTGCTTTTGTGATTTCAAACATTACTTATTTTGTACCGTTTTTAATAAAAATATATTATTTTTTCTTTATATGAGTTTGTTGTTTTAGCATTTCAAACAAAAATCAACAATATTTATTCTGCATATTTCTATTAAAAATGTTTATTTAGCTCACAAAATATCATATCAAAATACTATCTAAATAAAAATTTATATGAATATCTCATTTCTAATCAATTTCAATCTAAAACCAAACAAATCAAATCTATTTAAACAAAACCCAAAACAACACCACATTTCGAATTAGTTTCAACTTATAGCGTCCAAACTAACCATAATTAATTAATAAATAAATAGATATTTTATCTATTTTGAAATTATACTGTCTCTAATCAATTATTTTTAAAAAAATATATTGACATTTGAAACACAACTTTTGGTGATAATTATTCATAAAATCATATTTTCTATATAAAGTATAATATCTAATGTCTATTACAAATATTATTTATTTTATTTAATATTTTAAATTAAATTCTCTAAAATTTCAAGATACTTCCAAAATATATAGTCTATTTTCTGTATCTTAATTAATATCATTAATATTATCGTAGCTTAGACGTGACTCAACACCAAAGGTCCATAGGGGGGACTGACTGGCTTAGACAACTACAATAATATTAATTATGTACCTAATTTATCAATTAATTAACATTAGTAACAATTAAATTAATATTGGAGGTAGCAAACTATGGTAAAATACAAGTTGTCTTTATTTTGTATTTTTGGTTGAATCTAATATTATATTAATTATAAGGAATTATATCATTAATATAAAAAATAATATTTTATTTTATTTTATTTTATTTTTTATTTTTTTGTAAATGAGTAACGTAAATTAACCATACATTGTATTTTTCGGTAATCATATAAAACAAATGATTGAGTGAACAAACTCACAATATTTATGTATCGCATAACTAGATATATAAATGCATTAAATCATTTAGGTTTATTTTATTTTGATTTAATTTTTTTATTTGACTTTTAATTTCAATAGTATTTTAATATAATATTTTATATAAAAAATAATATATTTCTTATTAAAAATTGTACAACTTTAATAAGATTAATTTATACTTAAAAATCAGAAACAAACAAACAAATATGCCATCTACAAAATAATTTACAAGTATATATATATATATATATATATATCAGCTAAGATAGTGTAAAGGGTTTTGTGTATTTGTTTAATTAGTATAATAGTTTTGGAATAAATTATATTGTATCTATTCGTCAAATCAATATATGATTTTTTTTTTTTCATTTGTCAAAAAAAAATTATAAATTTTTATTTATAGAAAATACTTCATTTGTCTCAATTTAATGTACTATTTTTTTATATAGTAAATTTAGAAATAATAATTTTCTATTAGTTAGTGAAA